AATATTTACTTTATAAACTATAGACCAGATTATAGCATCGAGCAACACAAACGGATGTTCACCCCACCGCCAGCACCATTTGCGCATTTTTCTGTTTTCATTTACACATGGTGAAATTCATGGTGCCTCTATATGCTTCACATACCTGAGTTATAGTCATGACAATCCTCTCCCATCCTTCTGAGTTGATCCCCAGGAAATCCTTCGTGTATACGTATAAGGGCTGTGCGATCACACACAGCATCAGCAGATAGAAGTCCTTATCATAGATGACATCAATCATTCGGGGCTCTATGATAAGCTCTCCTTTAGCCGGCAGCGTAATAGGTTGTACCTATGTATGCAACACATCATGAGGTATTGTGGATATTTATGAGCATGTGTGAAAGTATACGAGTGTAGATATATGCCCCTCTGGTAACATTCTAAAGTGTATGTGTGTTCGTTGTGTAAGTGTGGTGTGTAATTGTATACACTTTTGTTCGAGGTAACAAGTGTACCGATTGCACAAATAAACCATCGACTTGCAGTGTAAGGAACGACATCATAAGTACAAGACACACAAACCAACTCCTCAAGCATACTCACACGAAGCGTGCTGTCTATTGTTAGCTATAGCCTAGCAAGCCCTATAAACTTCGGACAATGTTGGAGAAAGCTCGCTTTCTTCGGTTCTTTGTGGTTAGTTTGTCACACAGACAACAAGAGCAGGTCCTCTGGTGTGTAGACATAGCCCTTCGGTGAACATTGAGTCGATGGCGGACGCAGCCAATATAAGGATATGGACAGCAAATAAGCAGATACAGCGCATCTCTTCACTGCAGTGATCAATTCCTTATAACTACACAGCAACTGTTTTTGATCGGTAAACATTTATTATCGTATCTGCGCGCATACTTCAGATGTCAAATCACTATCTCAAAATACTGAGAAATGTGGTATTTACCTTCTTTGCAGAGGCCACGACCTTCTTCGAGCCTTTTTTGTTGTTTGATTTAGCTTTGGCGTTTGACATGTTGAACAGATAGAACAGACCAGGAGCGAGGGAAAAGAAGACAAGTGTATTTACGTATGTATACAGATAATGTAGTAGTGTATCGAACAAACAAGTACAAGTGTAGCCAACATATGAACGATTGGATATGACCGGCTGTTATAAAAATCTATAGCTTCAATGCTGACAGCATAAATAAGTTTAACAAATACCGCCGAATAGGCGAATATATCCGAGCGACCGGTGATCTGTGGCATATCCAAATCCCTTTTTGTCATAGCCTTCTGAAATCAAACATGATTCAGGCGGCTATGTATGTATTTTTTTAATAAATCCTCTGTCATGTCAAGTCTTTGTTGGAAAATTTGAAACGCGTTTATAGTTTGTTGAAGGCGGGGATGTAGACGTTGCACGTAAACGAGTGAATAATTTAACAGTGAATTGTTGGTGAATTGTATATGTTTATTGTTTTTCGCGTGAAGTAACAAAGTCATAAACGTTCAGCTTTAGCGCAAAACGTATGAATTAAAAGCGTTCATCATCATTTTATCGAAGACCCAAGTCAGCATTCTATTGGCTGACAATTTAGGTTAAAAAAAGGCTAAAAGACGATTTATTAAACGTACTTGATTGGCTAATATCTTCAACAGTTCCATGACAGGGTTGAGGGTTCTGGCTGGCGCGAGTATTTACTATTTACAAACAAAGGGGTTTGTTGGAATGTGAATGCTCTCCTCCATGACCATTGAAGTCTCGCTCTCTCAACAGTCCACTCATGGGTCAATACTCAACACAACGACGCAGTGTGTCAGGTTCACCCAGGCTCCTTAGAGTCCTGGCACTATTCGTGTATTCCATACGGTCTTTAGAAATTATGGGGCGGTAAATACATATTAAAATACGTGGCAAAGACGGACTTATTTGTTGATGATGCAACAATGGGTCACTCCACTGACTCCAGCAGACCAACATGGACAAGTTGACGGGTGGTAACAGATACACAACAACTGCAAAGAAAAACTGAACATACAACCTTGCACATTCTGTCGCAAATCTAAATTCTTTGGCAATGTAATACTATTTAGGACAGGTTTCTCTGAGTGAAGAACGGGTAAAAAGCCTGCTCGGGATAGATCCGCAAATAAAGATCGAATCTGTTTCTTCTATTTTCTCACTATTTTTTTAAGAAACATAAGCTTGATTTATAGTCATACTGTGGCACTCCCCAAATTTTTAGATATTATCAACAACCTTTTTTTAAACATGTTCTTCAATACTTCATAAATGAAAGCTTTATTTATTTAGTCTACCTTGTCATATATTGTCAGTGTATAGGAACTCAACATTGCGTTTGGTGGTTGTAATAACAAACTATCCCGTCAGTTATCAGACAGTATCTTCACTTTCAAAGCCATTCCCGTGATAATAGTACCCCATGATGCCGATCACCATTGTGTCATCACATACATGCCAACATGGCGCAAAAGACTATCAACGAAGTACACGCACTCCAAAAACTAATAGCCAAAATACGAATGAGAGATATGTTCGTTCAGTGTGCAACATCCAATCATGTACACAACATGATACAAGACCAACTAAGCAAAGCTTAGACAAGCAGCTGAATCCACCATGTCGCACTACCCTCTGCCCCTGAAACCATCTTTCCCTACTTCTAAGTCGACGATTCATTCAAAAGACGCTCATTGTACAACAGCCGTAACACACTCGCACTTGAATACATTCTCTGAGCTAGTAAAGAACCAAAGCGACTGCACAAGTTAAGATGAATGAGATGTATGGTGCACGTAGTGACAGTCTGGACCATAATAACACCCAGAACGGTGCAGGGCTGAGAAATGACCAGTTCAGCGCCCTCGTTCCCCAAAAGCATGCAGATAGTAGAGAAGGTGTATTGCACAGAGACACAGGCACATCTCGACAAAGAGAGTCTATTGTCGCCATGCCATCTACTCTGACCGCTGTCAAACCGGATGAACCGATGCGTGGAACCCCTTTATCTTTCACGGATGTAACATACACCGTAAAGATTGGCCAGGTGAAGAAAAAGATACTGACAAATGTGAGCGGCTATATCGAGGGTAACTCCTTCGCGGCCGTTATGGGTAGTTCCGGTGGGGGTATGTCTCCCATTTTGTAGTTTTGCTACACCAAATATGTGTAGTTTATAGTAGTGAGCATAAGTTAGTCGCATTAGAAGTCATCTCCGTGTTCCAGTAAACAATCGGGTTTCATTCTTCGTGGCTATTGACTTAACGCCGACTCATATAGCAACAATTGAATTAATCGAACCTGCCCGTGATCTCCATGACAACCAACATAGCACGCGCTCGAATGAGATTGGACCAGTATAGTGTTTTCCTTAAATGAAGTCGTCATGTCACACTTTGTGTTCGCATGTAGGTAAGTCAACGCTCCTTGACGTTCTTGCCCAACGCAAACCAACGAAAACAGTCAGCGGCAGAGTTCTGGTAGATGGTGTTCCTGCAACGAAGTATTTCAAGTATACGTGCGGCTATGTGCAACAGGTACGTCAATATGTATTTGACTGTATTGATATGAAGATTGAGTGACCCACCATTAATTGTACAGAAGGTTAAAGTGAAATGTGGATTGCAAACTCCTAGGACTATACCCAGCGGGCTAGCAATCACATCCTTCTAACAGATACTCGATTGAAAGCAGTGTCAAAACCGTGGTGATGGCACCTAAGGCCTCGATATCAATTTTCGTGATATTACATAAAGTACCATAGTCATAGGAATGGCCACACTATAAGTATATGCAAACCTAAGCCCACACTATAAGTATATGCAAACCTAAGCCCACACTATAAGTATATGCAAACCTAAGCCCACACTATAAGTATATGCAAACCTAAGCCCACACTATAAGTATATTCAAACCTAAGCCCCATTTTTTTGGTGACATTGTGGCGCTGGACAAGCGGTCGTGTCAGAGGATTGAACTCAATTGCCATAACTTTTGAACATCGCAATCTCTTTGTGTGCACACCGTGAGACATATCACACAGCGAAACATGGGATAAGATGTAAAGTCAGATAATACCAATACTAAACCGTCCAACTGCCCCATGTCTTCTTCGCAATCAATTTCTGTATCTCCATAACATCATAGCATTCATGCAACGAAATGTTAACGCAGGCAACTCCTGTTCTGAACATCCGCATATTACCATAACATTCATGCAACGAAATGTTAACGTAAAACATTAACCCTCCCACACAGGAAGACTATGTGTGCGGCACACTCACTGTGCGGGAGAATCTCATGTTCTCTGCCAACCTGCGTTTACCGAACGATATGGCCAGGGCAGACCGGAAAGCACGCGTGCAGAATGTGATTGAGGAACTAGGCTTGTTGAAGGTGTGTTGTTATCTCGGCTGAGGTGTTGGGAGAGGTCCACCAGGTGCAGCGCATGGCTACATCAATGAGATGACTGAGATGTCGTGTTCTAGCACATGCACGCGCTCTAGTGGTGGCAATGTTGGGTGGGGTTGGAATCCTGTTAAATAGTAGAACGTTGCTAACGGTATAACACTACAACACAACAACACAGGTGGCCGACAATCGCATAGGCACACGCCTGCTGCGAGGGATCTCAGGCGGTGAACGCAAACGCGTCTGCATCGGCATGGAACTCGTTAAAATGCCCACCTGTCTCTTCCTTGACGTATGCGCATGCGTTATTGCTTTATAGCTTTGAATTGAGATGATTGATACGACACTCGCGTGCGTGTGGTTTTGTCCATGTGCATGAGCTATTCTGTGGACGTTAACTCAGCAGTCACATAGATCAGAGGTACTCTGCACGTTTGTTTTACCTTGCGTTTCCGAGTCACATTACGTTGCCTTTCACTGCAAAGTTTAGTGTGAGCACGTCTTGAACGGCTGGCGATGTCCGCACATCTCAGGTGACCTCAACGAACGCCTTGTACTTGTGTATCTATTCTCAGGAGCCAACCACAGGCCTAGACGCCAACACATCGGAGAATCTGATGAAGACACTCAAAGAGCTGACAACGTATGTATTCTGAAGCACATGTACACACCCACATCATAGACATGTGTGCTTTGAGGGTTCTGGAGGGTTTAAAGCCGCTGTAAGCGCACTTGCGTCACTCGGAGTGTTCACTGGCTCGCCCGTGTTCGCACATACTACCCTCTGATGGAAAACAGTGCCATGCTTATACTTCCGTTGTATCTGTACTGACGGATATAGCACCAGTTATACTTACGTGTCTGTGGAAGTGATACGTACGTGTCTGTGGAAGTAGTACTTAAGTGTCTGTGGGAGTAATACTTACATGTCTGTGGCAGTAATACGTACGTGACTGTGGAAGTAATACTTACGTGTCTGTGTAACATCTGCCGATCGTGGATGATTGTCACACACTTGTAAAATAATACACACGCTGTTAACCTGGCAGACAGAGCGTTAAGCTTTCGACGTCTATTGTATCAAACTCAGGATATCATTGACTTTCTCGTACACATACGTGCACACATACCTACACCACACACTCTCACAAAGCTCCCACACCCACCCGCACGCAACCCTACACAGGAAGGGTGTTACTGTGGTGGTTTCTATCCATCAGCCACGGTACTCTATCTTCAAGCAGTTCGACACACTGTTTCTGTTGAGTGCAGGTGCTTTCGTGTACGCTGGTCCCGCCACTGGCGCGACGCCATACTTTGCGCGTCTGGGTTACGTGTGCGAGCCACACAACAACCCCGCGGACTTCCTACTGGACGTCACCAACTCAGAGTGTCTGAAGCTGGCTCAGGGTAGGTGTATGTTACGTGTGAGTGTGTGTGCTGACTACTTGGTGGACGCTACTATCTACCTCTGGGTATATAGCTACATCATGA